AACAAGAAAAGTAATAAGAAAGAAAGAAGTTTCCTTCTCCACTCCTCTGCCAATCTGAACTCTTTTGTCCCAAATAAAAACTTTTGTCCCAAATAAAAAAACCCCTTCCATTTCCAACAAGCTCTCAACGAGCTCCTCCCACCATTGTCATTTGCCCACCAAATTAAGGAAAGAAATTACTTTATTTCCAACAAAGTGGTATCAGAGCCCGAGTTATTCTTAAGTATGCTCTGTGGTTGCAGCGTAGTCTGAACTTCCACATCAGAAAAGAATTTCTCGTGTTTTTTGTTATCACGATTATCCCATGGCCGAAAAATCTACTTTCCCCATTCAATTCCCCCACCTTACCAAAACCAATTACAAAAATTGGTGCATCCGTATGAGAGCCTTGCTGGTTTCCCAAGATGCTTGGGATATTGTTGAAAAAGGCTACGAGATTCCCGTGGAGGATTCTCGGTTAACTCCTGCTGAAAAGGAGGTGATGAGAAAGAATCGAAAGAGTGATCAGAAAGCACTCACTCTTATTCATCAATGTCTTGATGAATCCATGTTCGATCAAATAGCAGATGCTACCACGGCTAAGGAAGCATGGGAGATTTTGCAAAAGGAAATGCAAGGTGTGGAACCAGTAAAGAAGGTTCGATTTCAGACACTCAGGGGAGATTTCGAAGCAATGAAAATGAAGGAAGGTGAATCTGTTTCAGATTAAACCGCCCGTGTGAAGTCTATCGCCAGCAAACTGAAGCAGTATGGGGAGAAAATTGAAGAGACCAAAGTGGTGGAGAAAATTCTACGATCACTGCTACCAAAATTTGACTACGTGGTGGTGGCCATGGAGGAAGCTATTGACGTGTCAAAAATGACGGTGGATGAAGTTATCGGCTCATTGCAAGCACGGGAGGAAAGATTAAATAAAAGAAATGAAGAATCATCAGAACAAGTGTTAGCTACAAAAGCTACCACTGAGGAGAAAGAAGGTGCCCGAGGAGGAGGTCAGTACAGAGGTCGAGGCAGAGGCAATTACAGAAGCAGAGGAAGAGGAAGAGCTCGAGGAGCATATCAAAGCAGAGATGGAGGAAATTTCACCACGAACTATGAAACGTCCACCAGAGGCAGAGGTCGTGGACGCGAAAGAGGAAGTTGGAGATCAAATGAAGGTCGTGATAAATCCAACGTCCAGTGCCATAATTGCTCGAAGTACGGGCATTATGCATCGGAATGTTGGAGTCTGTCTAAAGAAGTGGAGGAGACGGCAAACAACGTGCAAGAAGAAGAAGTCAAAGGCACATTGATGTTGTCACATCAAGGAGATTAGAAGCCGAAAGACAACATGTGGTATCTGGATAATGCAGCAAGCAACCACATGTGCGGAAAAAGAAGCATGTTCGTGGATATGGATGAATCGGTGAAAGGAAATGTTGTATTTGGAGACTCCTCGAAGGTTCCTATCAAAGGGAGAGGAACTATACTCATCCGGTTGAAGAAGGGCTCACAACAATTTATCAATGATGTGTACTATGTCCCAGACATGACTAGTAACATCCTGAGTTTGGGTCAGCTGATGGAGAAAGATTATGAAGTTCACATGGTGAATCGTCAACTGGAGCTGTTAAACAAGAAGAAGCAGTTGTTGGCCAGAGTCCCAATGTCGAGAAACAGAATGTTCACTCTGAACATTCAGGCAGAAATGGCGAAGTGCTTGAAAGCGTGTGTGAAGGACAATACATGGCTATGGCATCTGAGGTATGGCCATCTAAATTTTGGAGGCCTGAAGTTACTTGGTCAGAAGAATATGGTGAATGGCCTGCCAGTAATCAATCATCCAGACCAGTTGTGTGAAGGATGCTTAGTTGGGAAGCAATTCAGGGCAAGTTTCCCGAAGGAGTCCCTGTCACGAGCTAAAGCACCGCTTGAGCTTGTACATGCTGATCTCTATAGACCGATCACACCAACATCGTTCGGGAAGAACAAATACTTCCTATTGTTGATTGATGACTACAGTAGAAAGACATGGGTATATTTCTTGAAGCAGAAGTCAGACACATTTGAAGCTTTCAAGAAGTTCAAGATGCTCGTGGAGAATGAAAGTGGCCGCTACATCAAAGCAATGAGATCAGATAGAGGTGGAGAATTTATGCTAAAGAAGTTCAGGAGGTTCTGTGAATATCAAGGAATTCGCAGGTTTCTCACAGTCCCAAGATCCCCACAGCAGAATGGAGTCGTTGAGAGGAAGAACAGAACTGTCCTCAACATGGCGAGAAGCATGATGAAGAGCAAGAACCTGCCGAAAGAGCTATGGGCTGAAGCTGTTGATTGTGCAGTCTACCTGCTGAACAGATCACCAACAAAGAGTGTTTGGAATCAAACACCCCAAGAAGCATGGAGCGGAAGGAAACCCACAGTCTCTCACCACCGAGTCTTTGGAAGTGTCGGATATGTGCACGTACCGGATCAAGAAAGGAAGAAGTTGGATGACAAAAGCAAGAAGTACATATTCCTGGGATACTCAGAACACTCAAAAGGTTACAAGATGTTTGATCCCGTGGAAGAGAAATTGATCATCAGCAGAGACGTGGTAGTTGATGAAGAAGCAACATGGGACTGGACTACTGAAGCTAAGAAGAGTTATACTTTTTATCCATTCACTATGGATGAAAGTGATAATGAACCAGACACAGCTACACCTGTGACTAGTCCACCCAGTCACAGAGACCCTGCTAGCCCAGAAGGAGAATCAAGTGAAAGTCCAAAAGAGAGGCCACAAAAGTATAGAAGACTTGAAGATTTATATGAGGAAACTACAACCATTGAAGGTGATGAATTGACACTATATTGTCATTTCATTGATGATGAACCAGTGGATGCTGAAGAAGCCATGAAGGATGAAAAATGGAGAAGAGCCATGGATGAAGAAATTGGAGCAATTGAGAAGAACAAGACTTGGGAGCTTGTGTCACTCCCTGAGAACCAGAAGCCCATCGGTGTAAAGTGGGTATTTAAAGCGAAGAAGAATGCTAAAGGAGAAGTTGTCAGGCACAAAGCAAGATTGGTGGCTAAAGGATATAGTCAGAGACCAGGAATTGACTACAATGAAGTATTTGCTCCCGTGGCGAGAATGGAAAGTATCAGAATGGTGATATCTCTCGCTGCTCAAAATGGATGGAAGATACACCAGATGGATGTGAAATCAGCTTTTCTCAATGGGTATCTTGAGGAAGATATCTATGTGGAGCAACCCCCTGGATATATCGTTGAAGGTCAAGAAGATAAGGTGTTGAAGCTGAAGAAAGCATTGTATGGTCTGAAACAAGCACCTAGAGCTTGGAATAGCAGGATTGACAAGTATTTTCAGCAAAATGGGTTCAGCAAATGCCCACATGAGCATGCACTATACTGCAAGGTGAAAGGGGGAGCAATCTTGATGGTTTGCCTATATGTAGATGATCTTGTCTTCACAGGAAACGATCCTCAAATGTTTGAAGAGTTCAAGAAGACGATGGTTCGTGAGTTCGAGATGACAGACATCGGACTAATGTCATACTATCTCGGAATAGAAGTAAGTCAAAAGGAGGAAGGAATTTTCATCTCACAGAGTGGCTTCGCAAAGGAGGTCCTGAAGAAGTTTAAGATGGAGAGCTGTAATCCTGTGAGCACACCAGCAGAGTGTGGATTAAAGTTATCCAAGGATGATAAAGGAGAGAAGGTAAACTCAACGGAGTTTAGAAGTCTCGTGGGAAGTCTGAGATATCTGACTTGTACCAGACCAGATATTCTCTACGCAGATGGATTAGTCAGCAGATACATGGAAGCGCCAACTATATCACACTGGAATGCTGCAAAGAGGATACTGCGCTACATTAAAGGTACAATCGATCATGGTCTACTTTATACTAAGTCAGAAAATTTCAAATTGGTTGGATACTGCGTTAGTGATTGGGCAGGAGACGTGGATGATCGCAAGAGCACTACAGGATTTGTATTTTTCCTGGGAGATACAGCTTTCACATGGAGTTCAAAGAAGCAAGCTATTGTGACACTGTCAACTTGTGAAGCTGAGTATGTTGCTACGACATCGTGTGCGTGTCATGCAATATGGTTAAGAAAGTTGCTGAAGGAGTTGAACATGACACAAGAAGAGTCAACTGAGATTTATGTCGATAACAAGTCTGCTCTGGCGTTAGCAAAGAATCCGGTGTTTCATGATCGCAGTAAGCACATTGATACGAGATATCATTTCTTGAGAGAATGCGTGGAGCAGAAAGAAGTTATGCTGAAGTATGTGAAAACTGAAGACCAGATTGCTGATATTTTCACGAAGCCGCTGAAGCAAGATGTGTTCGTCAAACTGAGGATTCTACTCGGAGTTACGACTAATTAAACTTTAAGGGGGAGTGTTGAAATTAATTAATAAAGTTTAATAAGCTAAAAACAAAAAGAATCAGAACAACCTAGAATCATGCCTACGTGTGTGGTTTTATGTGAAAGTTTGTAGAGAAAGGTGGCTGCATTGTAAGATTAAAAAAAAATTGAAAAAAAGGCTAGCCACCAATCAGAGGCGGTTCTCAACTGCCCATATTTATTAGGGTGCTGATTTTTTTAGTTTGTAAGCCTATAAAAGGCAGCTTTGGTTAGTGTGTTGAAGTGTGGCAGAACAAGAAGAAAAGTAATAAGAAAGAAAGAAGTTTCCTTCTCCACTCCTCTGCCAATCTCAACTCTTTTGTCCCAAATAAAAACTTTTGTCCCAAATAAAAAAACTCCCTTCCATTTCCAACAAGCTCTCAACGAGCTCCTCCCACCATTGTCATTTGCCCACCAAATTAAGGAAATAAATTACTTTATTTCCAACACACTCCACCTATGGGGTTTTCTAATGAAACATTTTTCACTTTTGCCCCCCTTCAATTAGCTAGGGTTGGGTGGAATGGACACAAATACCACTAAATCTTGCCTCTGCAGTTTTGTCTAGGGTCTGTGGGTTCACATGATGATATGATTAATGACTAAGAAATGAAAGCAGCAGCTGCTGCTAACTTACTAGGAACCATGTTGACCGGCATTCCAAAGGAGCCGTTGATGAAGGTTCGAGACGACACCTTACACAGATTGCTGCACATTCCTACACAATTGCTCTGTTCCAAGAACCTGCATGCCAAAACAGATGATGGTCCTCATTATAAAAAAAATACAATATGTAAGAGACACCAAGTAAAGCAACACTTTTTTATGGATCGATCATGGGATATTGGGGGGTACGGAACTAGTATGTATACCTGCACTTGTTTATGTGGACAACATTTTTTTCCTTTCTCCCATTCAACTCTGATTCTCTTACCTGTACAACGATCCAATTTCTGGTAAATGAAATATCCGCGTTTTGTGAGAATTGAAATGAAAAATGGGAAGGAAGATAGTGGATAAGATAGGAGGGGTGGACTGTGGAGGGAACTCATAATTTTCTTCTGTAAAATAATGGTAAAATTTTGCATACTAAAATCTCAACATGTTAAATCAGCGAGGTTAATTAGTGGTTTTTTACCTTAAATCCAAATTTTTAATTGATGTGTCAAATGTTTGAACTCTCACGACTGTCGATATTCACAGTTGATCTTTATGGACAGAGCTCGTACATGCTTCTGGTTCTTCCAAGTGTAATCTTTAATCTTTCCAAATTTTCAATTACAAGAAATCTAAATAAGAGTTAAACTACAATTGAACAAAGTTGTCATGATATTTTTTAGTTTCTTTGATTGGAGTATTTTTCCAATTATGATAAGGAGTAATTTCGTGTGGTATAATGTATTAATGTTGGTGTTTTGTCCATTATTGTGATTTACAAATTCATTGGAAAAAAATTTAAGACCAAATATACCAGCATGAGGTGGTAACTGGTGGTAGACAATGGTGAAATGTGGTTAATATATTTTACACTAATCATGTATTCAACGTACAATTTATATATACTATACTATACTATATTCATACCAGCAAGACACACTTCCATACCACTGTGTTGTAATATTATTTACTATCAAACATTAACACCATATATGGTATAGACGATAATACTTGTTTCAATTTTGTTTTATTTCAAACTATATAAAAGTGAATGGTATTTTGAAGAGCAAGATTAATATGCTTTTTTGTGTAAAAAAAAATTGAATTCCAACTTATAACGAAAGATATATAGTCTGATAAATTTAATTAAGAAAAAATTTATACACAAATTACTAATTGGATTCGCTACTGACAAATCTACACGGTCGGATGGTACTATATGATAGTTTCCAAAAATGAAATTGAAAAATACTTAGTATGCGCACTAACTAATATAATGTGGTCTTTAAAGCCGTACAAATGAAGCACTACCAAATCCAAGGGACATAGTGCTACTGCGGGGATGAATTTCGGCCACACGCTAATTAAGTTCAACGTTAAGGCCAATAACCAACAAAAAAATGAAACAGTACGTACTGAAAATCCAATTAAATCAAATAATAATAATAATTACATAAAAAATGAGAATTGTAGTGGGTGAACTTCGGAGTAGCGTGTATTTGAGGGACATGTTGAATTTATAAATTTCTGAATTATCAATTATTATTTTTAGAATTGATAATTTAGCTATTAATCTTTAAAATTTCAATGATTTATATATATCTCACCTTATGTCCTACCCAATGTTACTATACTAGCTGTATTGATGGATTCAAAGGCACAGTATTTATATGTAATATATGTGCATGGTATGTAGAGGAATGGATGCGATATATATAGTTTACCTCACAAGGGCCAACCAACCAGGCAAAGAAGACGGTGGTGAAAGCAGCGAAATACTCCCGTTTGAATTTTGAGTTTGGAAGAACCGTCCTTATCTGCCTGACTGCCCACAATATCATCAACCCCGAATATTGAACAAATATATATTATGTAAGAAACAACAAAAATCTCCATCGTCATGATAATGACCATTCATCATCCAAATTAAACCACCACCAACATCAACCAAACCAACCATAGTGGCCGACCGGCCGACCCTCACCACAAATATTAACCCACCATATCTATATAGAATATTAATATTGTTTTCAAATGCGTGAATATAACAGTGAACAATATTAATTATTAAGCATCGTAACTTCCATTGCATGCATTGTGGTTAGAGAGAGAGAGAGAGAGAGAGAGAGAGAGAGAGAGTTATGGTTGTGTTGATGAGTATACCAAGTGAAGGATTGGAGAGGGAATGGCGTTTGCAAGAGCCTGAACCACAAGGTGACGCTGCTGCGTGACCTCGAACTTCCTCGTTACATCCATCGTCGCCTGCACCAAGCTCTCGTATCCCTTCTTCTCGTTTCGAGCCCCTTTCATTTCTCCATCAACATCATCATTGTTAAACTGTCCCAATAATAACAACAGGCCAGCGAAAAGCTATATACCAAAAAAAAAACTCACCCGTCGCCTCTTGGACGTGACGGGACAGGTAGTTTATTGCCTCCTTCTCGAACCAGTTGTCATTATACTCCGTGCTCCTCTTCTCGGCAGCCCCTATAATATTCTCCGACGGCCTGGCCAACACTGCTACCACCACGAGATGATGACTACTATTTCTACCCGTCGACTTGTTGTTGATCTTATTACGTGCTTGCCCAGGACGTTGAAACCACGGTGTCGATGGCGACGAGGAGATTTTGAGACCAATAATTAGCTTTGTTTCCATGATGAAAATTGAAGTTGAAACAAAAGTAGCTAACTAGCTAGCTATTACTAGTAGTACACTAGCCAACCAACTTAATTAATGAATGACGAGTGAAGATCAGTTGATGATAAGTAGCCAAAAGACGATTAGAGAGGCTCAAGCAACGAAACAAACAGAACAGGCTTACTTAAACTTTTGGATGGGTGGTATATGCCCAGAAGGATAGCAGCAAGAAATTAGAAAAGGAAAAGGTCGTCAATATTCAAGCATGGGCTGCAGTTTGGCGACCTTGTTTGTAAGTTTGTAAGCTCCGAACATCCCCGAATTCGGCAACTCACAAGATGCTTCATTTTTCCGCTTCCCTGTTTCCTCCATCATTCTTATTATTATGGTTACTGGCTTATAAAACTGATAAAAAGGTAAAGAAAACAAAACACGAATTACGTGGTGTCCTCGTTCGATGTGAACGAGACTACTCCACGGAGAGTTAGGGCTCTCAGGTTTTGTTCTTATTATCGTAGAACTTACATAAACAGCCGCAACAATGCAGCAGGATATATATATCCGAAACCCTTCTACAAAGCATCTAGGGTTCGGGTATTAATCCCATGAAAATAACACAATCATCATTCAACAAATAAAATGGACAAACAAGTCCATAGCTCCATGCACACGTGTACATGCTCCGCTACACTCCCCCTCAAGCGGAGGCATTGAATATTATGAAGGCCAAACTTGGAAGACAAGTAAGAAAACTGATCAGCTCCCAAACCGTTAGTAAATATATCCGCAACCTGATCGTGAGTGGAAATCTTGGCTGGAGCTATCTCCTTAGACACCACACGCTCACGAACGAAGCGACAATCCATCTCAACATGTTTCGTTCGTTCATGAAAAACCGGATTAGCCGCAATATGTAATGCAGCCTGATTATCACAGTATAAGGAAGTGGGAGCAGTCATGTCCACGCCAAGCTCCTGAAACAGGTAACGCAGCCAAATGATCTCACTAACCGTGCTAGCCATAGCACGATATTCAGCCTCTGTAGAAGATCGCACCACAACAGTTTATTTCTTTGTCCTCCAGGAGATGGGGCTGGCACCGAGTTGAATGAAATAACCGGTGGTTGAGCGCCTAGTCTGCTGACAACCACCCCAATCTACATCACATAATGCTGTGAGGTTTAAAGAACCAGCAGAAGGAAGAAACAAACCTTGCCCAGGAGAACCTTTCAAGTAGGGAAGTACACGATGGGCAGCATCAACATGAGCTTTACAGGGATCGTGGACCGCCTAGCTAAGAACATTGACTGCATACACAATGTCCGGTCGAGTAACCGTCAAATACAAAATACGACCAACCAGTCTCAGATAGGACGAGGGGTCGGCAACAGGGGCACCTTCAAATGTATTTAGACGATGATTTTGTTCGATGGGGAACGAACAAGGCTGAGCCGCCTGGACACCAGAATCGGCGAGAAGTCCAAGGCATATTTTCTCTGGGTTAGCACAATGCCTTGCCGGGAACGAGAGACCTCAACACCCAAGAAATATTTCAATGGGCCAAGATCCTTATTGCTCCACAGAGAGCTAGGGCTCTCAGGTTTTGTTCTTATTATCGTATAACTTACATAAACAGCCGCAACAATGCAACAAGATATATATATCCGAAACCCTTCTACAAAGCATCTAGGGTTCGGGTATTAATCCCATGAAAATAACACAATCATCATTCAACAAATAAAATGGACAAACAAGTCCATAGCTCCATGCACACGTGTACATGCTCCGCTACAACTAGCTTATAACCCGACCCGTTGGCGGATTGTTCATATTTTAAAATTTTATATTTTTATGTTAAGTTTAGTTTATCAACCGTGATAAGTTCGTGTTGTGCGAGAGCAAGGAAACAAAAGGAACACAGAGTTTACGTGGTATCCCCGATGATCGGGACTAGTCCACGGGAGAGAGAAGTCTCTCCAGCTACTGATCTTATTGATGATTAGGTTACACTGCCAATAGGCATTACAGGTCTACTTATACTCGAAGATACAGCAGCTAGGTTAAGTTCTATGCTACGTGGGAATGGTCTCATGACCATGCAGCAAGCAGCCGCGGATCCAGCACTATGGGCTGTCTCTCCAACAGACTCGGCCCGTGACTTGGGCTGAGACTCGAGCTGGCCCAATACGCCCCCGCAAGCTGGACGGTGAAGATCTCGAACGTTCAGCTTGGAGAGCAGAAATCGGAAGCGATCAGTACCCAACCCTTTGGTAAATATATCCGCGAGCTGTAGCTCAGAACTAACCTTGCGAGGAGCGATATCACCAGAAACAACGCGCTCCCGAACGAAATAACAGTCCATCTCCACATGCTTGGTACGCTCGTGGAACACCGGATTAGCCGCTATGTGTAAAGCGGCCTGATTATCACAGTAGAGTGGCGTGGCATGAGTGATGGAAACCCCAAGCTCACGGAGCAACCAGCGAAGCCACAGTACTTCACTGACAGTGCTGGCCATAGCACGGTACTCTGCTTCAGCGGAAGAGCGAGCAACGACCTGTTGCTTTTTGGTGCGCCAAGAGATGGGGGCGGACCCGAGGGTGATGAAAAAACCTGTAGTAGAACGACGCGTACTCTGACAACCAGCCCAATTCGCGTCACAATAAGCTTCAAGATCAAGACCCCCCTGCGCCGGAAGGTAGAGTCCTTGTCCCGGTGACTGTTTCAGGTACCGGAGAATACGAAAAGCAGCATCCATGTGAGCCTGAGTAGGCGAGTGCACGAACCTGCTCAGAATGTTAACACCATACGTAATGTCCGGCCGGGTGACCGTGAGATACTGCAATCTGCCAATGAGACGTCGATAAGAAGACCCATCAATAAGCGGCTCGAACACTCCTGCCTTAGTTAACTGATGATTCTGCTCTACTGGAAAAGCACTGGGACGAGCAGCCTGAACCCCGGCTTCCTCGAGGATATCAAGAACATACTTTCGCTGACTGAGAATAAGTCCTTGGGGAGAACGGGCAACCTCGATGCCAAGGAAGTAGCGCATCGGCCCCAAGTCCTTAATACTGAACTGACGATCAAGGAAAGCCTTCACACGTGAAATGAAGTCAAGATCATTTCCTGTAAGAAGAACATCATCAACATAGATCAAAGCAGCAACAAAAGTGGCGCCATGCTGATAGATGAACAAAGAATGGTCGGCTGGGGAAGACCGAAAACCCATTTCACAGAGAGCTGCAGTGAACTTTTGATACCAATTCCGTGACGCCTGCCGTAACCCATAGATGGACTTGTGCAATTTGCACACACGATGATCACCTGGTGCTGCAAACCCAGGAGGAATACGCATATACACCTCTTCTTCCAAGTCTCCGTGTAAGAATGCGTTATTGACATCAAGCTGGTGCAGAAACCAGCCGCGATTAATAGCAACTGTGAGCAGACAGCGAAGAGTGACAAGCTTGGCCACAGGTGCGAACGTATCGTGAAAATCTACGCCTTCGACCTGTGTAAAACCCTTTGCGACCAACCGCGCTTTATAACGCTCAATTGAGCCATCCGGCCTGTATTTAATTTTGAACACCCACTTTGAATCAACAATGCGACGGTTGGGAGGAGGATCAACAAGAGTCCACGTCTTGTTTTGTTCAAGAGCTGCTATTTCAGCAGCCATAGCCGCGCGCCAGCAAGCTTGGCGGAACGCTTGATTGAAGGTACGGGGCTCATCTTCTTTGGACACAGCTGCAAGAAAAGCCCGGTAGTGTTTCGAAACATTGGCATAAGAAACATAGTTGGCCAGCGGGTACCTGATGTTAGCCGCGCCAGCGAACTCGGTCTCATGATCGTCAAAGCGCTTTGGCCGAGAGCGATGGCGGTCACTACGCCGCAAGACTGGAATAGCCTGATCTCCTACTGCGGGCTGGTCCAGCTGACTAGAGGGGGAGGCTCGAGCTGGCCCATGATCCACAGGAGAGTGCTCCACCGACTCGAGACCTGACCCAGGTGGCGGTGGCAGCGGACTAGACCGCGACGAACTGGGCCGCGGATTGGGAGATGGACGGGGTCCAGACGACAGGGGCTGCTCCCTCGGCCCAATTGCAGGGGCGGACGACAAAGGTGGCCCATTCGGGCCGCGCGGCCCGCCTGCAGGGACGGACGACAAAGGCGGCCCATTCGGCCCACTCGGCCCGCTTGCAGGGACGGACGAGCTGGGAGATTCTTCCAAGGGCGATTCGCAAGTTGGCCCTTCCTCTGGTCGGGAATCATCGTCGAAGACGGCAGGAGATAGCCAATGGTATTCATTGGGGTCCTGCGCACGGAACGGGAAATGAGTCTCATGAAAAACAACATCACGAGAGACCAGTACCTTTTGAGTGTCAAGATCGAAGAGGCGATAGCCCTTCTGGGTCGCTGCATAGCCCAGGAAGACGCAGGCACGCCCCCGTTCAGCGAACTTGTGGATATGTTTGTGATTATCCTTTGCATAAGCAAGACAGCCAAAAACCCGAAGATGATCATAACGAGCTGACCGATTAAACAGAACCTCGAACGGAGTTTTACCAGTTGCCGAGGTTGGAAGACGATTGAGAAGATAGACTGCAGTGAGTATGCATTCTCCCCAGAATCGCAAAGGTAGGCCGGCGTGGAACCGTAGTGCTCGAGCGGTGTCGAGGATGTGACGATGCTTTCGCTCCACAACGCCATTCTGTTGGGGCGTATCTGTGCAGCTGGTTTGCAAAACAATGCCGGATCGGTCATAGAAGTCAAGCAGAGCATTGCTCTGAAATTCTGCACCATTATCTGCCTGTATACGGCGGACCTGCCTGCCAAATTGTGTCCTGACCATTTCGCAGAACATAGATATAAAACGAGCTACATCAGATTTGAATTTGAGTAAATAAACCCAAACCCCACGACTGTAATCGTCTACAATGGTGAGAAAACAATAAGCACCGCTGAGTGAAGCCTGTCTGTAAGGGCCCCAAATATCCATATGAACTAAATCAAAACATCCCGTAGTTTTAATGGAACTAGAGGAAAAAGGCAAGCGACTCTGTTTAGCCCTTGAGCAAGGGTGACAAGGACTCAAAGGTCTGCTAATAGACAAAGAAATAGTGGAACCAAGCTGTGACAAAAGTTCCAAAGATGGATGACCAAGACGCTCATGCCACCGTTCCTGTGCAACACGTCCGGCACTCCCCGCAGCAAACACAAAACACTCGTGACTTTCGAACAACTTCAAGTAATAAAGACCATCACGCAATTCACCCTTCCCAATCGCTTTCCTGGAGTGTAAGTCCTGAAGGATGCACATATCACGCATAAATATCAATGCAACATCATTATCTTGAGTTAACCGACTTACCGACAACAGGTTACAGCGAAACTGTGGGACATGTAGAACACGTTCGAGATTAAGCCCCGTGGGCAGCCGAACTGTTCCAACCTGCTTTACTGGCACTTGCTCACCATTTGGCAGTCGAACGGGTTGACTTCCCGTACGAGAAACCATATCACAAAACAATGATGAATCGGTGGTGATATGCTCGTTGCACCCCGAGTCAATTAACCATTCAGGAGAGTCAAGAAAAGTACCTGCCATGCTAGCTGAAGGATCATCGGCAGGTTTGGAGTGATCGAAGAACTTCTTCAGCTGCTCTAACTGCTGCATCGTGAAGCCCGGAACCGGACTCGTGTCGCCCTCAACCTGGGACGCACGCGGATGCCCATCTCGCGTACCGCGTCGGGGTCGTCTCTCCCCTCGATCTGATGTGCCTTGCTTGTCACGAGGAGGCCACCCAATGATCTCGTAACAAGCTTCCTTGAGATGGCCCGGCTTGCCGCAGTGTGTGCATCGGATCCGAGGCCTAGCAGCAGTGTCACCACGAGCATCGGGTGACGCATCGTCCGAGCGTGAGCGCCCGGACTCGTTGCGGGATGGGCGAGCATTATGGTCACGACCAGAATCCCCTTTGGTGTCTCCGCGCGAAGCAAAAGCGGCCGCCTCGGACCCAGGACGTCGACGCTGCGCCAGCAAGCGCTGCTTCTCGTCATTGGAAACAATATTAAAAGCTTCAGCTAGGGACGGCGGAGGTTTCATAGCCAATATTTGGCTTCTGACAGTACTGAAACTCTCGTCCAGCCCCATAAGAAAATCAAGCAACCGAGTGCAGTCTTCGCGATCGCGTGTCCGACGTTCTAGATCGCACTTACATTGGCCGCACGTGCATCGCTCGGGCGGATAGATCGACTGCGCTTCTTCCCAGTAATTCTTCAATTGTGTGTAGAAAGCAGACACACTATGCTTCTCCTGCCATAGGCCAGCAGTGAGGCGTCGAAGCTCATAGCTTCTTGTGAGAGTGCCTTGGCCAAATCTCTCTTTCAAATCCAGCCATATCTCCCTTGATGTTTTAGCGTACCGAACGCTGCTGCGAACTTCTTTGTTCATAGATGTGCGCAGCCAGCCTTTAACTACCGCATCACAGCGACTCCAAGGCCCATTCTCGGGCTCATCTACTGGTTTGGGAATAGTCCCATCGACAAATCCAAACTTGTTTTTGACGATGAGTGAGTCGGTCATATCGACGACCCACTCTCCATAATTGGTGGGGGTAAGAACTTCCCCAACTGACAGCTGCTGTCCTGTGGTGTCCGACGGGTGAAGATACAGCGCTGACGAAGGATCCATGGCAGTCAACGGTCCAGACGACCCGCTGCCGAAACTGATGACTTTCTTGCCGTCGGCGGTGGTGTTCTTTGACTCTTCAGAATCACTCATGTCGACGCAAGGATTGAAAAAGAGCAAGCCCTAGAACCGGCGCTCTGATACCATGATAAGTTCGTGTTGTGCGAGAGCAAGGAAACAAAAGGAACACAGAGTTTACGTGGTATCCCCGATGATCGGGACTAGTCCACGGGAGAGAGAAGTCTCTCCAGCTACTGATCTTATTGATGATTAGGTTACACTGCCAATAGGCATTACAGGTCTACTTATACTCGAAGATACAGCAGCTAGGTTAAGTTCTATGCTACGTGGGAATGGTCTCATGACCATGCAGCAAGCAGCCGCGGATCCAGCACTATGGGCTGTCTCTCCAACAGACTCGGCCCGTGACTTGGGCTGAGACTCGAGCTGGCCCAATAAACCGCGTTTAATTTATATTTTTATGGTTGACTTGGAAAGCTTTAACAATGCTCTCCTTGGTAAATGGTTATGGAGAGATATGCTACCGAAAGGATAGTTGGTGGCGGCAGCTCACTGCCATTAACTACCCTAATCAATCATCATAGTGGAGAACCAGAAGCAACAGGAGAGGATTTGCCAGTTCGGTGTGGGCCAATATCTCGAAAATTAACAACCTTTTTTGGAAAGGGGCTTGTATTGAGCTTGGTGCAGGTACTTATGTTTCTCTATGGCAGGATGTTTGGATCCCAGGTGTTCGTTTGGCCGACAACTTTCCTAGAGTCCCGGCTGCATCCATTCACCCGGAAGTCAAAATTTCTTGGGATTGGGATTGAATTTCTATTGTTATTCGGTATTAGGGATTACGTGATTGGGATCAGGATATACCGAAATACCAATCAATACCGAAATATAAGCTAGTTTGTATGTTATCCTTTCAACTAGACTCTTTCATTTACTACTACATGACCCTCAACCACCAAAAGTGTCATTTAATTATACACAGATCATTCCATTACTATTAATAGTCGTCTCTCAACCTCCAATTCGTCAAATTAAAATTATCATTGACAAGAACTTCAGATGTCTCCTCTCCTCCACTCTCCTTAATAATATCCTAATTCAAAACTCTTTGCTTAGTCTTTTCCCCTCATATTAAATAATAAAACCTAATTTATATATTTAATTATTAATTGCAAAGATAATTAATTTCGTATTCGATAATACCGATTGGGATACCGAAGTACCGATTGGATACCGAAATATTTAGGGATATGGGATTGGGATACCGAAATTATTTAGGGATTGAGATTGGGATTGACTTTATGGTGTAATTCGGTATTCGGGATTTCGGTATTTGGTATTGGGAAACCGATACCGTACCGATTTCCACCCCTATTGCGAATTGCCAATGGTGTTTAGCCTTTTTCATAATTAGTACCGATTGAACCAGGTTCAACCAGCCGGCATGCACTGGCATGACAACCACTCAATTCTAACATCTATTGAATTTGATAGGGCTGATAAACAGTTATCCCGTTAATGGTGTAACCGATAATCGAACCGGAACCGGTGCTAAACGATTACAACAATAATCGATTAAATGATAAACGGTCGTTTCTTGGTAGCCAAATTTAGCTAATAACTAACCAATAGTCAAACGGTTAATAAATGACGGTTAAACGGTTAACCGACTAAGCGATTGCGACCATCCTCATAGTTAGAGCCGAAAATATTAGACCTCCATGAGGTGCAAACATAGGCCAAAAATAAAGCGGTGTTTAAAGGCTTACAAGACCCCTTGCCTATTCTAGTTGTAATAGTACTCAAATGAGAATAATTTGAAGGAAGAGTTTTAGAAGGAACACAGTAGAAAGTCAAGAGTTGCGCACAGTTGCACGACAACAATAAGTAACATTAAGCTTCCATATAATTTGATGGGCTTTACGAGTTGAGTAATTTTTAGTATCGTTGTATGATTCCTTAATAAAGTTTGACAGTAGAATGGTATTATTGTGTAGTTGTGTTGGATTGAGCTGATTATGTATTGATATATATCTATATTAAATTATTTTAATTCAATGATAACAATTAACAACTTAAGAAAAGAACACATGCGTATTTATGAAAATTATAGAAAATTTCACAATTGAAAGAAGTAGGTCCTATGTTGGTTAGATTATCGATCGGCTATTTTAGTATAACCTTGCCAAATCACTTGGTTAACGGTTATTCGATTAACCGACAAAATAATCGAAAACCGACATACCATTACAGTTAACCGGCTAATTTAAATCTGCGATTAACAGTAAGGTAAGTACAAAGTGTTTAATCGTTAACCGAGAACTAACTAAACGGTTCCGGTTATAACCAAACTGATCATCAACCCTAGGAGAGATCAAATCTCACTTTTTTTTTTAATTCACTCCTCAAATTAGCGAATACTTTGGCTGCTCTCAATTGACTGAGAGCAAATTGCGAAGGAAAAGCAGACGATTTGATGCAGCAAAACATGACTATGGTCCATGAACTTGGCACACAATCATAACAGTCGCAGACCAACAATTATGGGATTAGAGTCAAGACAACCTCTATAACTAAACAATCCAAACAGAAGTACCTGCTACCGAAATAGAAGATTCCAGTTCTAGTCTAGAAGTACAACCCTACAGGTTAAAGATTCTATGTACTACTACACCAACAGCCATGAGAAGAACACTAGCAAATGAAACATCAGAGAAGACTTGACAAATTAACCCTAAACAACATAATAATAGCTTCACACAACTAAGCCCTAGCTCCAGCTTGACAGAGGCTACAGGAAAAAGATAAACAAAAGCGAGAGAGCTCTCTCTCTCACTCCTTGCTGGTCTTGTTGATGAGAGACTTGTGGATGTGAGGGATGACACCACCACCAGCAATGGTACCTTTGATGAGCGTGTCGAGCTCCTCATCTCCTCGAATGGCCAGCTGGAGATGCCTGGGCGTGATTCTCTTCACTTTCAAGTCCTTGCTTGCATTCCCAGCAAGCTCAAGAACCTCAGCAGTAAGGTACTCGAGGATTGAGGCCAAGTACACAGCAGCAGTAGCCCCAACTCGGCCATGAGCAGCAATCCTCTGCTTGAGATGGCGATGAATTCGACCAACAGGAAACTGCAGGAAGAGATATATGGAATGAAATTTCAGAATCCCACAAAATTTTCATGGTGAAGAGACCCTTTTACTTCAAATCACATAGCACAGTCCACGAGTCAAACATGGAAGTTAGATCAATTCATTTTGAGACAATTTCACCGTCCCAAAGCAAGCATCTTGCAACTTGATTTGGCACAGAAACTGAAAGGACATCAGCTTGGGAAGGCACTGACGCTGAGCTCAAGTGTTACAAAGTGAATGAATCCTTTCAACATTGAAAAATGAACCATGTTATTGAAAACGAAATCTAACAAGAGAGAACACATTCTGACACTAGAATTGAATAGGCAAAACCCCATATGACATTTCTGAATCAGAATACATCTGCATGGCATTAGGGACCGAATCATTCTATGGGAGAACAAGCGCACACAAAAAAGCGTTTAGCTTGTAACTCTAAGACAAAATCCAGCTAAAAAATTCATCACAATCACTGATTCGACAACACTCTGCCCATCATGTTCTGGAACAGGTATAATATTTTCTGGACAACATTAAAGAGAGAACAGAACAGACACTGGAACGTTTTGACTTCACCTGGATACCAGCGCGAGAAGATCTGGAGGTGGGTCTCTTCTTGTCCTTCTCCTTATCTTTGTCCTTGTTAGCGGCGGTGGTCTTCGCTGCCAAAAGCCCTTTCCCTCCTTTTCCTGCCATCGGCTTCTCACCAAAAAGAAGAGAAGAGTCAGATTTGGGATTTCAACAGAAACCCAGCACCAAGAAATCGGATCTGTTGAACCAACGAAATTCAATAAGAGCAAGCGATATCTGCAGTAAGGACTTCCGCATTTTACTCTCCGACGACTCCAAGTTCAATGAATTTCAGATCTGGGGCCATTCAAACTCGAAAGACAAAGAGGAGAAGCGGAAAGGGGACAGATGTAGAGAGAGAAACAGTGTACTTTACCTGAATCAGCGACTTGGATACGAGGAAGAACAAGAAGATGAAAAGGGGGGAGAGCGTAGAAGGGACGAACAGTTGCTTCAGGAACGGGAAATACTGTGTTTGGGTAATTTCTTTTTGGGTTTTAAAATGTGTGGGGTTTCGAATTTTAGGAATGCGAAACAAAAGGGCGGTTTGATTTCGGAACTTTGGGTGGGAAAATCGAAATTTTTGGAATTTCGAAATTTTTCCTATGCCTCCTCCTCCCTAAAAAATGCACCTCTCTTGTGTTGACTGGACTGGACTGGACTAAACAGTAGAAACAGGAAGGGACTGTCTGAATTGTCAACGAGACCTACTCTCTTTTATGTATTGTTCACTTGTTATTACCGTTCATGGTGGGTGTCACAAGAAATAACAAATCCCAATAAAAATTAACTTGACGGCTAAACTATTCATTTGTTCACTCAAATTACAAAAATTTGTCACATTTAATCATCTCAATTACTTTTTGGGTTAATGCCACATTTGGTCACTGTGATTACTAAATTGTATCATGTTTAGTCACTAGAAAAAATTAATATCAAATTTGGTCACTCTAATTACTGAAACAGGTCACGTTTAGTCACTCTCCCTTAGTCTCCGTCCAACTCCGTTAAGGGAGTCCGTTATGTGCTGACGTAGCTAACGGAAGCGCCTAGTCAGCATCATTTTGGGTCAGAAATGGTCAAACCCGACCCGCCACATCACTAAACCCGCCATGTCATACACCCAACCCGAACCAAAACCAAACCCTCACCCACTGAACAAAACAAGATTGGAAAATCGATCGGGTTATTGGCCATTTCAGACCAAAACCCTTTCTCCTTCCTCGAATCAATTCCCCCACCAAAAAATCCCCAAATTCATCATAAAAAATCTCCTTCAATTGACCTTGCATCTTCTGCACTCATACAAAGAGATTGATTAAGGGAGAGGGAGAGTGAGGTCCGTCCTCTCGTTCAGCAAACATGGAAGATGACAGGAGGGAAGAAGTAGATGAAGAGAGACCGGACCTCATAGTGAGTAATCCAGATGTCTACGTCGAGAGCTCACTGGTACTGATCCAACATCCCCTTGCTTCTGCGCTCCCAACCAAACCCCACAAACAAAAACAAAAGCAAAAATCCGACGCTCAGCTCAACGAGATTGAAAAATTGTGCTATCCAAGCTTGGATTGAAACTTCCGAGACGAAGACTGATCAACTCGGATTCAGCTCGCTCTCATCTGGAATCGGGAATCTAGGGTTTCGAAGAGAGGAAGGGAGAGATTGAATGAAAGTAGAGGTGATGTAGACTGACGTGGCGGCGGGGTTGATGAACTCGTGGAGCTTGCCGGTGCTGGAGACTTTGGCGTCGCAGAGGACGGTGAGCTCGTTGGCCTTCTTGAAGAGCCCTTTGCGGCGCTTAGAGTAAGTCACCTGCCAGTTCGTCGAGTTCTGGATACTCTTAATCTGGATCTTCCATCGAGCTATCGCCAGCTTGCTTCAATCGAACGTACGTGCTTCTAGGGATTCCGGTTTTTGACGAATTTGGGGATTTATTTGTGGGAGATTGATTCAAGAAAGGAGCAAAGCAAAGAAGGAGAAAGGGTTTTGGTCTGAAATGGCCACTAACCCGATCGATTTTTCAATCTTGTTTTGTTAAGTGGGCGAGGGTTTGGTTTTGGGTCGGGTTGAGTTAGTGGGCCGGGTGTATGACATGGCGGGTTTAGTGACGTGACAGGTCGGGTTTGACCATTTATGACCCAAAATGGTGCTGACTAGGCGCTCCCGTTAGCCACGTCAGCACATAACGGACTCCCTTAATGGAGTTGGACGGAGACTAACGGAGAGTGACTAAACGTGACCTGTTTCAGTAATTAGAGTGACCAAATTTGATATTAATTTTTTCTAGTGACTAAACTTGACACAATTTAGTAATCACAGTGACCAAATGTGGCATTAACCGATTACTTTTTTTTCTTATTCGCCACTAACTTTACAAATTGTTTTACCGTTAGTCATTGGCTATATCTCTATTAACTCCGTCGGTTTTTTTATGACGTGACAAATGAAATTGCTAACTAGACCATTAACTTAATGACATGTTCATTTAAAAAGTGAAAAATGAAAAAATAATTAATTAACAGTTCATCCTCACCCTCTCGCTCTGCATCCCGCGAGCTTATTCCCTCCACCCTTCGTTACTTCTAGTGCCTCTCTTCTTCTTGCTGCATCTTTAACTATACGAATTGTTTCCCCGCAGATGAAATCACAATGAACAAAAATATAGAGCTAACATGAATTAGAAATTAAAGGAAAAAACAGAAATCAAGTTTGTAAACTCATGTATTCGATCTATTGTTGGCGACCAACGGAGGAGATGGTAAAAAGCTTCTTGTATGTTTGGACAAGTCATCCCAAAAAAAGAACCGAGGTTCTCCAAGTGGAGCTCATGTTCGCCAGCAGATGAAGTATCAAGCAGAGAGAGGCGGGATCTAGGTTAGATTGCACGAATCGAACTCTTGGCTCAACCCTAATCGCAACGCTCACTAGAAGGGATTCAATTGTCGGGGCAATGAGTTGGAAATGGGTGGACGATTGCAGAAGATGGCGTTGAGGGAATTGGATTGAGGGGAAGACCGGGTGACGAGTTTGACGAGACGGAGAAGTAAGGACGGACGATGGGAGAGGGAGTGCTTATGCAATCTGGGCGTTGTGGAAGAGGAAGTGCTTTTGCACCCGAATTGTTGAGTTTCATCATAGCCGGTGCCATTAGAATTGATTATCCATTTTTTATAAATCGTGAATGAATTGGTGTTATGGGGTGGTTTCTTCCTCCGTCTCTGTCATTACGGTGTCACGGCAGTCGCTGCTACGGTCAATGAAGATTCTTTGCATGGTGCCTCCTAGGTTGCGGCGAAGAGTAGCTCAATAGAAGCGAGTGAGCCAACTTTTACATGATTAGTTTGGGGATTGAAATATGTTAGTTTACAAAGGGGATTGTTGTGTTGGAAAGCTTGATTGTATTCCATGTAGTCAAAATCGCGTTTTAAAATTAAAAAACTTACGATTTTACGTTTGTAGGTCACTAAAACGTTTCTACACAAAATTTCAGTTTTTATAACTTATGTAGTTAAAACTCCGCTTTCAAACTTAAAAAATTACGATTTTACGCTTCTAGATCACCAAAACGTTTCTTTGTAGAGACTCGCTTTTGACTACATTGATTGTATTCATGTATTACAAAGGTTTATATACAAAGAGATTACAACAATGAGGAATGGCTACAGTAGTGATACATTGAAGGGCTCGATATGTGGATTGGCGATCTCGATGGTGCCATACGGAAAGACTTGATTGACCGTGAATGGTCCCGACCATCTAGAGTGCACCTTGCTCGGAAAGAGTTTCAGGAGAGAGTTGTATAAGAGAACTCGATTGCCCACCTGAAACTCTCTAGGCCCTCTTAGATGAGTTTCATGGAGACGCTTGGTCCTCTCCTTATATAGCTAGGTGTTCTCATATGCGTGATTATGCCACTCTTCCAACTCCACCAGCTGCATTTTCCTTTCGGTACATGCAAGACTCAGATCAAGGTTGAGTAGCTTAAGGGCCCAGAAGGCCTTATGCTCTAGCTCAACGAGTAGATGAATATCCTTTTCGTAGACAAACCGATATGGAGAAGTACCCAATTAGTGTCTTTTAGGCTGTCCTATATGCCCACAGAGCATCATCGAGCTTGTTAGCAAAATCCTTGCGAGATTGATCCACCGTCTTTTCAATGATCCGCTTACATTCCTGGTTCTTCATCTCAGCTTGACCATTCACCTAGGGGTGGTAAGCCATGGACACCTTATGCTTAATCTGATAGCGAGAGAGGAGCTTAGTGAATTGTTCTTGAAAATGGGTACCTCTATTGCTGCTGATGGCTCGAGGTGTCCCGAACCGGGAAATGAGCTACTTCATAAATGAACACAAACGTCTTGCATCATTGGTGTGGTGTACATGGCCTGTGCTTTTTCCCACCTCGAAACGTAGTCCACAACAACCAAGATATAAAGATTACCGAATGAAGGAGGAAAGGGACCCATGATGTCGATGCCCCAAACATTAAAAATCTCACATGTTACAAACGAATTTTGGGGCACCTCATCACGTGCAGAGATGTTACCTGAACTCTGACAGTGATCGCACTCTCGTGCGAAGGTCTCTGCATCCTTAAAGAACGTGGGCCAATAGAAGCCCACTGAAGCACCTTCCACGCCGTGCGGTTTCCTCCATAATGACTGCCAGCGGGCTCCTCGTGATAGTGAGATAGGATGTCTCCCATCTCGTGCTCCATCACACATCGTTGTATCATGCCATCTATTCCGATCCGGAAGAGGTATGGATCTTCCCAGAAATAGTAATTCAAGTTGGAAAAGAATTTGTGTTTAGCGTGAGTGGCCATCCCCTTGGGCAACTAATTGCCTACCAGATAGTTGGCAAGATCAAAGTAACAAGGGGTGACACTCTCCCCCCAAGCACATCTCCAGCAATCGCTCGTCCGAGAAGGAGTCGTTGATCTTTTCCATAAAATTTTCCACCAGATAAGCTTCCAATCGTGAAAGATGATCTATAGCAACGTTCTCCGCTCCTTTATTGTCCCGGATCTCTATGTCGAACTCCTGTAGTAGTAGGATCCAGCTAATGAGCCTAGGCTTGGCATCAGCCTTGCTCGTCAGGTAGTGGATAGCAGAATGGTCTGTGCAGACCACTAGATGAGATAGCATCAAATAGGGTCGGAACTTGTCGAAATCATACACCACTACAAGCAGCTCCTTCTCTGTGGTGGTGTAGTTCTCCTGAGCATCGTTCAAGTTCTTCTACGCGTAATAGATTTGCTATAAATGCTTATCGCGTCTCTAACCAAGAATAGCTCTGACGGCGTAGTCACCTGCATCGCACATCAGCTCAAATGGAAGAGACCAATCCGGAGTCACCATGATGGGTCCATGGGTAAGCTTCTCCTTCAACGTCTCGAATGTAGTTGTGCACTCTGGAGTGAAATGAAATGGTGCATCATTCTTCAACATCTTGGTCAAAGGCAGGGCGATCTTCAAGAAATCCTTAATAAAACGCCGCTAGAAGCCTGCATGATCTAGAAAGCTGTGGATCTCCTTCACATAAAGGGGAGGAGGGAGCTTACTGATCGTCTCAATCTTCGCTCGATCTACCTTCTCGAACCATGCAATGACACTTCTCCCAGCTAAGTGCCAAGTTCGTCTCCTTGCACCTCTTTAGGACAAGTTCCATGTTATGGAA